AAAATACTACTTTATGTTTATACTATTTGCTATAATTTTCAAAGCTATTTCTTATATTCTGTCATTTGATTCTTGCAACAGCACTAAGATGGAGGCAGGATAAGTACTATTGTCCCAACTGACAATTGAGGAAAACTAGACCAGAGAGATTGTGTGCCAGATTGTGCTATACCGTTTTGATTAAGCTAGGAACTGTAATTCCCATAATCCCCTTTCCTGTATGCTTCTGGGTTGTTGTTGTTAGGTGCCCTAGAGCCAGCTCCAACTCATAATGACCCTTGTACTACAGAACAAAATATTGGCTGGTCTTGCACCATCTTCACAATTGTTACTATGTTTGAGCTCATTGTTGCATCTACTGTGTGAGTCTATCTCATTGAGGGTCTTCCTCTTTTTCACTGACCCTCTAATTTACCAAGCATGATGTCATTCTCCAGGGATTGGTCCCTCGTGATAACATGTCCAAAGTAAGTGAGATGAAATCTTGCCATCTTCGTTTCTAAGGAGCAGAACTGGCCAAAATAGAACTTGCATGAGATGTAGCACGTGGACGTGAAGCACTGGACGTTACATCTTAGTAAATGTGATGATGGACAGGTGCAGGGGGCCCAGCATGTTCCAGCTTGCCCTTGATCTTTCCTATTTCATGCCTGTCTCTTCTTCCTGACAGGTGTCTCTGGTGACCAGTAGCAGCACCAGGCCCATGACTGTGGGTTTGGCTACAGAACCACAGAGGCAATAGCTTCACAGAGACCTCTTACAAGCTTCCCCTTCCTGCTCCACTTTGGTGGCTGTATATGGTTGGCTTGTCCAATAGATCTGTTAGTGACTCCCTTTCTGATCCTCTAACTTCCCTCCTAGACTTTTCCTTTCTTTAGTCCCTTCTAGAATTATCTAAAGTCTAATTCCTGTAATAAAATCCCACATCTCATAACACTCATGGTCACTTTTTTCCCTTTATTAAACCATGACTGATCACAGTAATTGATACCAGAAGTGGTTTCAGGAGAATAGAACCTAAAGGATGGAACATCTGGAATTGGTTTTCTGATCTAACTAGATTTAAAGGCATTAATTATACTGTTACCAGCGATAAATGGGACATTAGTAGTCTGTGCCATGTGATGCCAAAAACATCACTTAAATTACTACCTGTAATCAAATGCCTATAGAATGCTAGAAGGCAAGACTTTGGATGACCAAGTAGCTGTAGCTGTAGAATATTTTAGTGGAAACAAGGAGTATAATGGGAGTGAGTTCGTTGCCTCTAAGGGTGCTGGAGAACTTAGAGAAAGAAAATGATGTTGTTGGGGCTTTAAATTCCCAGCTCAAGAGTCAGCTCAGGAAACAGAAAGCTGTGACAGTTCTGTAGCCATAGGGCTGAGATTTCTGGAAACTAAATCCCAAATCTAATCCTGCCAGTGAAATTTTCACTGGTTGGAAAGGAATGGGTCTCTAAAAATTTGGAATGGGAACATGTGGGCAAACTGTGATGAAGCTAAAGTCCTCAAGTCCTCAAATTTGGCTGAGTCTCCTTTGACAGCATGAGCATCCCTCCCCACCTGTCTGAAGAGTGAGTTTTCTCTTGCCTGAAGAACCTGTAATGACCTGGTATTAGTTTCCTAGGGCTGCCCTAACAGAATACCACACACTGGGAAACTTATAAGAACAGAAATGTACAGTCTCACAGTCTGGAGGCTAGAAGTCTAAATCAGTGTATCAGCTGGATCATGCTCCCACTGAAGACTCTAGGGGATGATCCTTTCTTGTCTCTCTCTCCCAGCTTCTAGTAGCCCCAGGCATCCCTTGGCTTGTAGATGCACCTTCACATGGTCGTCCTTCCTCTGTCTGTCTCTCTGTGTCTCTTCTCCTCGTTTGTAGGGACACCACCCAGACTGGATGACTAGTTTGACCTCAAAAAATTTCAATCAGCATTTAGAAAGAATGGGTGTTTTCATCGCCGTTACCACTCTTGAGCATTTTCCAACTTCTATTGGCTGCATAGACTTGAAAGGTGTCATACATTGTTCATTACTTTCTTCAAATTCATGAAATCAGCCAAACCTACCTGTAGGAGGACATTTTAACAGATCCAAGCACTTCCTCACCCATTTTGATTTCTCTGGTTTCAGAGGAAGACTCACACTCTTTTTAAAGGCATGACACTCTAAAAGTAAAAATAATCCAACAAATTAATCTAGTAAACCAACATGAAACGTCCAGCTGATATTTAAAGATTAAGTTTGAGGAACAGATTCTCTAAACATATTTCTACACCAAAAACCCATTACTGTTGAGTCCATTCCAACTAGATGTGTCTAAATCCAAATGACAAAGGCTCCTATATCATGGAATGGAATGTAGTAAAGGGGCCTGTTGGTCTCTACTTCAGTCAGGACTGCATGTATTTGATTTTGTTGTTAAATATTTGTCTTCCAAATGCTCATTTTCAATAATTTTCTTTGGTTATTAAAGAGTAAGCATAGTGCAGGAGGAAAAGACATTCCCTGGTTGTGTGACATTGTGCAAGCCACTTAAACTCTCTGGGTATCTGTTATAGGTTTAATTGCATCCTCTAAAAAGATATGTTAGAGTCCTAACCCCTGTACCTGTGAATGTGACCTTGTTTAGGAATAGAATCTTTGGAGATGTTATCAGTTAGGTTAACATGAGGTCATACTGGAGTTATTGTTAGGTGCCATTGAGTTGGTTCCGACTCATAGTGACCCATGTATAACAGAACAAAATGTTGCCTGGTCCTGTGACATCCTCATAATGGTGGGTGTATTTGAGCCCATTGTTGCAGCCACTGTGTTAATCCATCTCATTGAGGGTCTTCCTCTTTTTCTCTGACCCTTTACTTTACCAAGCATGATGTCATTCTCCAGGGACTAGTCCCTCCTTATAACATGTTCAAAGTATGTGAGACAGTCTCTCCATCCTTGATTCTAAGGAGCTTTCTTTCTAATCCAGCCTGAGTAGTGTCCTCATTAAAGAGGAGAAGAAACAAAGAGACGGAGAGACAATGGCCATGTGTAGATGCATTTATAAGCCAAACAACTCCAAGGATCGGCGGCAGTCACCAGAAGCTAGAAGGGAGGCATGGAACATATTCTTCTCAGAGCCCCCAGAAGGAATCAACATGGTTATATCCAGCCTTCAGACTCCCAGCCTCCAGAACTGGAAGACAATACATTTCTGTTCTTATAAGCCACCCCATTTGTGGTATACTGTTACAGCAGCCTAGGAAACCAATACAGTGTCACATCCTTCATCTAGAAAAATGAAGGTTTTGATGACCTCTAAGGTCATTTTCAGTATTAATATTCTATGACTATAGCAACACAGTCAACCTAATAAAAAGTATGCTTGATTATAACATAGGGCCAGGAAAACACTGGAAATATGTAATAAATTCTCAGTAACCTTACGGTTAATAAAGGGCCTTCTTTCACTTTATTTTGAAAATAGCAAGCTGGTAAATGAAGAAATAAGTGACATTTTAAAAGTTAGCATCATATGATTGTCAGAATTCTATTTAATTACATAGTTACAGTTAATCACATAATAACAAAAATGTAAGGAAACCATATAATATTACAGTGTTGACAATATTAAATTACTCAGGTGAAAATAATTAGTTGTTCAAAAATTTCAATCATGCGAAGTTTTGGTGTAAAGTAGTATTTTTTTTAAAACTGTTTTACCTTCTTTAAAGTGATGGAGCAAATTTTAATATTGCACATATAAATTATCTTCCTTGTAGCAATAGCATTTGTAAGTTACTTATAACTATACATAAGAAATTGATAACAATAGATTTGGTTTATTTCTTACATAATGAGATATAGAAACTAAATTTAGAAGGTAATTCTTCAACTATATATTTCATGTATTTTTACCAAGGGAAAAAATCACACACACGGATTTTTAAAAATTTAATTTCCTAATTTTATTATTGCCTCATTATTATAATATTTTCTGCTCTGCCAGAAATTCACATTTTGGTTCCAGGGACAGTTATTCTTTTGCATACCATTCCAAAAGGTCATTCAATTAGTATTTAAGCACACACGTCCCCAAACAAATTTATCTGGAATAGATCATAACTAAAAATAAAAATCTGTCAAATCATATATTTTCCAAAAGAAACATATTTATAGTGGGTGTTTTATTTACCAAGGGCCTAATGTTCAAGTTTAATTTTATCAAAATGATCATAAACATTATATTTAATGCTCTACAAACCACATCCCTTTATAATACACAGTATAAGACTTCACAAAGTATATATAAATTAAATAAGGATTTACAGAAAGCAAAACATAATATATATAACTTAATATATTTTAAAGGTTCATAAGGATTAGGATTTTACAAGATGGGGTGCTTCTGTGTGGATCTTAAAAAAGGTTAACAAGTAGGACGCATTCAGAGTGGGTCAAAAGTAAAAAATATTTGTGTGTGTGTGTGTGTTGTGTATGTTAGGGTTGGGGTGGAAGGGGCATGACGGGGGCCTTTGCAGGTCCTGGGAGGTGGCCTGTGGTCTAGAGTAAAGATGATACTGACTTTGTGCTCACTTATTGTCAGGAAGCAGACTGATTTGTTGACATGATTTATGTACTGCCTACTCTAGGTCAAATAATACAGAACTTCTTGTAACTAGAAATAATCATACTCTGTTTCAGGTCTTCACAAGATTTACAGCTCCAATCTCCCCATCCCACTCACTGCTAACTTTTTTTTTGAGGAGGGGGAGAAGAGTAGACATTGTTCCTTAAACTATGCAATAGATATGTAAATACAAATTTGATTAATCAAATTATTTCATATTGACCTATATCATGTTACTTTGAGATTGATATTTAATATCAAGATACTACTATCATTTTATGCTTCATTTTCTCTGCATTTTAGCCCCTCTGTCAAATAGTTAATTATTTGGAACCAACATAAAGACCTTCTCAAGATGTTTTCTTTAAGAAAAATTCTTTAGTGGCTTTTTTTTTTTTTTTTAAAATCATCTATCCCAATCTTCTTCTTTTCCTCAATTTGAGTTTTTTAAACTTCTGATTCTTGGAAATAAGCAACTCTTATGAGGCTGTGGGTCACCTGAATGAATTAAGATAGCAGTCAAATTCCAACATTAGCACAACTACAGGGTCAAGGCATATACCTGTGCCACTGAATGCACAATACTGTGTCTACAACAAGGGTCGATGTTCTCTTTAAGTCCAAAACGCCTCCTACAGGCATGAAAAAGATTGAGGAAACTCATTGTATCAACTACTAAAACTGGCCCAAAACAACTATTAGAACATTTAAATTCATCCATTCTTCTGACAGCTGGAATATGGAATATAGAATAGAAAAACAGGTATAGATGATGTGATAAAAACTTATTAGTCAAACAGAATTTTAGGAGGAAATGGAGAATTTCTATTACAAATGTATTTTTTCTCTCCTTTAAATGTTTATAAGGGATTAAAATCTTAAAATGGGGTAGTGGGGGAGTGCCTGAAAATCTCAAGTAAAACATGGTTTTAACAAAATGTTGTGATTTTAGCTTATTCTTTATTTATCTAAACTTCATTTAATTTAAATAATTGCCTACTAAAGTTTATAAGGAAAAACTTGATGTGTATTTTAATGTAAAAAACATTTACCGAAAATCCTTGGAAAATGAAATCTTTTCAAAGTTCACGTGAAAAAAAAATGTAGCACTGTTGTCCATTATTTAACAAAGTTTTGACAAACGCGCTAAATAATTACACCATAAAGTGCCACAGAGTGATAAAGACCCCAAAATAATAATCACAATTAAAATATAAGTTAGTAGGAATACAAAACACACTCACTTAATTTTTTCTTTTTGACAGTCATGTAGGATAAAAATTTTTGAATTTCAAACAAAGAACTGGATGGTAATTCAAGAGTCAGTAAAGCTTATAAAATTCGTTCATGACTTACAACAGCATGGTGACATGAGTTAAGTCATATCAATTGCCCCATAAAGCAAACTTTCCATTGATATAATTGGCCATGAGTCCAGCAAGAATTAGAACATCTGAAAAATACAGGAAAACACTTGAATGCACAGGGCTTATTTCTCTAGAGGCCCTATGATATTTCTCAACTTCTGTGTCTAACTGGGAGACAAGATCGTGTCAAGGAAACTTTCCTAGATGAGGATCTTGGAAGTAGGTCAAACTATTCCTGGCCTTTTCTGTGCCTTTGACCAAATCACAACATGCATGGGTTTGTTTTTTACATGACCTTTGAGGTGGCTTCCAGAGCTGGCATTCTGCCTATTTACACAATGAGCCCAACACCCCATGATACTTCCATCAGAGTCTACAAATTACCTAATGCCTCCTTTAGTTATAATAATTGTAGAATGTATACAAACAAGATTCACATTCTTGAGTAGGAAAGTATGATTTGTGGTAGTTCCATGGAGAAAAAGAGGGATTAATCATTCAAATTATATTTACAGAGAATACACACATGAGTTTGCTCATCTCTTCTCAGATATTTATCCCTATCCAGTCTCACTGATGATATATCTTCATGATGAAACTCCAATGTGGCTGACCAAACAAAAATGATTCCTGTGTTACTGAAGATACAGTTACTCAGGATTTTATACACATTCTTTTTTGTTAAATAATTTTCACTAAATTGAAAGAAGCATGCTTGTTGGTAATATGTCTTCTTTCTGTGGTTACTTCAACACATGATATAACTGATTGATGTCCTCCTTTAATTATATACTTCATACAAGGTTAAACTAGCGAGAAGACCAAGTCTGTGACACGGTGAAAATGTTAGGAAAGTGGAGTCCATGTGTTAGTCTGGATGTTTCACTGAAGTCTTTATAATTTTATCCAAATCCTTGCCCTTCCAACTACTTCCCATCCTCGCTCTCCACCCCCTCCATGGGAAATTGCACCACATAAATTTCATAGCCTACAAATATGTACTATATAAATTTCTTTGGCTAGAAATTAATTTGTGTGGCATATCCCTTATTGTTATAATTATTAATACACATCAAGTGGCAAATTATTGTTTTGAGAAAGCCAAGCCTGAGGGATTATAAAGTATAGTTAGTGATTAAGTAATTTGAAATTTTAAGATATCTATAAATATGACTTGTTAATAGGATTGGAGAAATATGTATAATTTTCACTTCGAGCAGTTTTTAGTATAATAATTTTTTATAAAACATGAAGTATTAAAGGCCCAAAACTCAGCCCCACTGAATGTATTTTTCCATTTATTGTGCTATGTTATAATAGTCGAAACTGGACTACATTTTTTTATACGAGTATAATTTGTTCAGCTTGTTTTCGCTGTAGCGTTAATGGCTGGTTTTAGTAAATGGCTCAAATAATCTAGGGAGTAGGGTACTCATGCTGTGTTGCAAAGGTTTCTGAATTATTGGCCAAAGGATAAAGGCAAATACCAGTTTTTATAATGTGTTTTTAATGTAAAGATACTGCATGCAATAAGTTGGATCTGTAGAAGCTACTACTATCAGTGTACATTTATTTATAAGTCCACTGTTTCTATATTGGATAGAAAGTATAAGTGGTTGACCACTTCATAGGTGAGAAATGACTTTCAAACATAATTGCCCAGTGAAGACAGAAAAGAATTTTACAAGATACTAGGACTAGTACTCTAGTTATTATTTGCTGAAAAAGGTGGTTTACTTTTAATAAATATGTTTCACTTTATTTTACATGCCCTATCAAACTGCATCTTCCCTAATATATAAGTATATACTTTTTAATTTCATTAAGTTCAAATGTGGCAGTGGCCAGAACCTATTAATTCATAAATATTTGCAACCTGCATAAATAAATTAGTTCTGAATGCCTATTATTAGTTCAATAGGAAAGTGAAAGACGTATTTTCTTTTCCCCCACCAGAATAATAAACTATTTGCTCAAGGTTATTTTGTACTTTTCTGCGTTTTGAATATAAAGCTACGTGTTGATCATGGGTAGCAGTAATTAATATTCTCAGAGGGAAAAACTGGGGACATAAAAAACAACTCCCTTCAGGCAGTCTTTCCGTGAAAAGCATGAGCCCTCCAGGTTCCCTCTGCTCTGGGAAGAGTTTCTATCACTTATGCTGGTTCCTTCATCATTGCTCTCTTCCCACCTGGCATGGACATTGTGACCAGCTCCATTCACCTCTACAAATCCAGATGGAACCTCAACTGAGTCACTTACAGAAGGAGTCAAACAATGTCTTTGGTTCATATCAATCCCTCCCTCACAATGGAAAAGCCACATATATATTAGAGATATAATATAATCCCCCAAAGGGAGGAAATATGACTTGCAAGTGTAGAGGCATCTTCAGTCAAAAACCTACGAGCTCAAGTGAATTAAATACAAGTCTCTGATCATTCTAGTTGCTCCAGTGGAATTGATTTTACGAAGTTCCAGGAGACTGACACAGTAACTTTGCATCTTTGGTTTTTGTGGAAGATTTATCTGCTCATCATTTTTATTACCTTGTGCTTTGCCGTATGTCAAGTACATTAGGTGAGTATAAACTCTCCTATCTGTTCATTTAGCAATTTTCACTTAGCTACAACTGTACCAAGAGTATACTGGGAGGAATATGCTCGAATAAGTCTCCAAAAATGTATCGTGAGCTATTTTTCAGCATTATTCTCATTGCGATGTGATTGGGGCAAAGACTTGGGAAGGGCATTTCTCTCTCACACACTCACTGTGACTTATTATTTCAGAATGAACTGGTCCAGCTGGTGATGTCTGATCTTTGGTGCCCCTCAGTGAGGCTCACTAATAATGATCAGATCCAAAGGGTGTTCCTGAAACAACTTCCTGGAGGTACTGTGTCTCCCAGCAAGGAGACAACTGAGCAGACGTGTCTAATGAGCAGAATCCCCTGGGCTCACTGTCTGCACTCTCTGCATGTTAATAAAGCTGAGACATGAACCAGGACCCCTGAGGGCCTCTCCCCCAGGTCCCTTGGTAGAAACTCGTGGTCTCTAAGCAACAGCTCAACTGAGTGAGTGGCCAGAGGTTCTCTCTGAATGAGGCACCACTAGGAGCTGTGCTGAAATGGTCTCAGTGGGAGTTGCTCTGGTATATCTTACAAATGGCATTTCAACAGCAAATGCCATGTGCTAAAGTAATTCAGAGACGTTTGACCCTGAAAGCTGGAATCTCAGGTAAGGCTGTGACCCAACGAACCAGTCAGACCCACTTCTGCTGTGTCAGCAAAATTCACAGTACAGAGAGTTTGGGTAATTTTTATCCCTGAAAGCTTAAGATAATTATTTTTCACATGACTCTTATGATTAGCATCGTGATGGGGTTTTCATACTTATCTGAGAGATCTGGAAACTCTAGATCATTAGTACAAGTGCAAATTCATCCAGGAGGGCCCCATAACCATTTTTATTCGGTAGTTATTCATGGAAGTGAACTGTCAATCTGCACTCAAGCTATGGGTAGGGATAAAAAAAAAAATCTTATCACAGATCAGCAAAAAAGATCCCCTTTCAACAGACTAACTCTGATAGTTTTTAAATTCTGCTATTAAAATAAACCGGGTATTCATCTTATATGACCTGGGCTCAGTGTCCTTCAAATCTTCCCTCGACTGTTTGAGAGCTGACCATCTTAGCCCCATGGCATCAGATAATTCAGAAAGAATAACTTTTATTTCTCCTCAAGTAAACTCTAAAATTAAAGGCAAAAATAGCTGTTGTCCTGAATTTGCCCATCACCACTTCCCTTTAAACCTTGTTGACTTGGCATGAGTGTCAGGGATGAAAATATTACATTTTGTGTTATAAACCTAGCCAACTTTCGTCCAGTGAAAGGAAAATAAAGCGCAACAAATTCTGGCTGCACTGTGCTTTACAAGCCCTTGATGGCACTCTGAGAATGGCGGCTATGAAATTTTAGGTATCTATGTCTGCAATCCTGTGCCTGCGGTTCTTCTTAGTGATTGAAAATAGCTGAGTTCTTTCTACATGTTATTTCTATTTCATTCTTGAACAGTTTATCGTTCAGAGTCCTTCTGATTTTCGAGATTAAACGGAAGCTGATCAGGGAACACACCCAAACTTCCTCACTTAGCTCAGATGGGTGGTCAAAGGGAGAAAAACGGTCACAAGCGGACCCTAACCGGAAAGGCAGCGTGAGTGGCAACGTGAAGTGCAGCACAGCTAGACTTGCTCCTTTGCCTCCAAAGTGCACCCCTTGCTCACATTTTCATTTGCACTTGTCAAAGAGCTGACTTGACTACAGAAATACTTTTGCTAAGAAGTCTTTTTTTTTACAGCACTATTTTAAAAATAGCTATTCAACATAACAGTCTTAATTTTAATGCACCAAATTACAATTTTCAACGATTTAAGTGAACACATCCTGTCACCCTGAGCACACATTTCATATATACTTGTTACAAATAGATGGATATTGCAATACCCATTTCTGTATTTGTCTACACACACACACACACACACACACACACACACACTAGAACTACAGGGCCCTGCATAATATTATATTCTAAGTTACATGTTCCCTTAATTGTCAGGACTTAATTATATGGAGAGTTATGATGCCATTGGTAGAGCTTACTGGGTTTGTCCCTGCTGAAACCTTCAAAGCCACACAGATTGTGGCGGGTCACCATTAACGTCTAAGGACAGGCCTGTGATCAGACGGACAGACAGAGGAAGCCACCATTAGGATGGAGGTTGACCCCATCACAGAGACACAACCCAGTTTGGGCAACGTCCCACAGTGCCCATGCTCTGCTACCGTCAGACCCAAGGAAATTTTTTAATTTAAGTGACTGTTCATACGATTTGGAGTCTATTTTTTTTTTTAAACATAGATTCCCCCAAAGAAATTCAATAAATAAAGGACTTAGCCATTGATTCAAGGAAGCAGAACTCCAGTTTTTAACCTTCAACTGGGATTGGGATGAGACCTGACCCATTTCAATTTTTACTGCAGTCGGTCTTCTAGTATGCAGAGGGTACGAGTGGTTTCTTGACCCCCAGGCAGGTCCAGGGCAGCCTGTCTCTCTGGCTAGGAGTGGCTCTCTGTGTGTCATTGGATGAGGCTGGAGCTGTAGCTGAACCCATAGCTGCTAGACCTCGACAGCGGCTGCTGGGCCTCATCACTCTGCTCCGAGGTGTAGCTGGGAAAGGTCTGTGCACGAGACATCTTCGAGGAACCAAACCCGTGACCTAGCAAGAAAGACAAGAGAGCTGGGCTAAGAAACAGATTCAGAAGAGCAGAAACGTACGTTATACAACAAACAAAACGATGATCCAACAGACAAAGCAGAATCCCTCACATCCACAAGGCTGAGCTTGAGACAGGCAAGTAGGTAAAATGAGAAACTTTTGGTACCTTAATCCATGATGAGTTAAAAATGGTGCTTTTGAGCTCCATACCTTCTCCCAATGTGTCTTGTCAAAAAATTGCCAGAGAGCTAGGTAAATTTTCTAGGGATCTCAAACTTCTACTATCCTTCAACTTTTGGAAAAAAGCAGGAAAGTTTCTTCCCAAAAGAGCAGTTTTGGATAAAGAGGCTGCAAGCTGCTTTCTTTTCTTTTACGCTCACTTTCAGCATACAAAAGCAAATTATACACTTTCTTCAAACCTTTGTGCACAGGCAAACTACACTTTGTCCTAACCAGTAACCATCAATTAGCAAGAAGAAGTTTTCACCACGATAGAGTTAGCGGCCCCAGCTTCTATGCCAATGGATTGGTGAGGGCCTATAATCGAGCCCACTTCATGTTAGTGCAAACTATAAACTTGCACTGTCTTTTTATGCAAATAATACATGCGTTATACGTTTTTTGCCAACCATGCAAATTCACCCCCCCCATGTTATTTTTTGTAACCGCGCTATGCCAATTGCTGCCTTTTGTATGTGTGGGAGCATTATTTGGAAAACAATATGGTACAGTTACTAAAATGGCCTAAGATTTGCATCTTATATAAAATATACTTAAAGAAAAAGAAAATTCTATCTCTATTTTTGGTAGTTCAGATACACCCTGTGAGGAGAAATTCTGTCTAACGCAAACCAAAACAGAAGGGGCTACTGAAAAATGTGTCAGAATGCTAACAATGTATAGAGAAAACCTAAGACTTCAGAGGAACTTTACAAGTTTCCTCATCCTTTTTTTCCTTTTTAACCAGTAGTTATTCTTCATGCCTGAGAATGATTGCTATCTAGTGGACGAGCTTAGTGGGGAGACAAGAAAAGTAGATCCTGTAGGTTCTGCCTTGTCAGAGTTTATGTTTGAGAGATGTATTTAGATTGATTTGATTTAGCTTTGTCTGATCTCCATGGAGAGGAATCCAGAGAAGACAGTTCGTGAACACAGAGACAGTAAACATCTTGTCACACTCCTCAGGTGGGGCTGCCCTTTGCAATGTTGTAACTTAAAGTCAGTTTTGTTCCCAGGTGTGTTCGGTGGCACAGTAAATATTCTAGCAGTGTCTGAAGCTAGGGACCAAGGGACGGAACTCAGATGAATTTAGTAATAAAAGGCTAATTAATTAAAACTGGTTAACCAGTTGCCATTCAGTCGCTTCTGTCTCCTGGCAACCCTGTGTGTGTCAAAGTAGAACTGTGCTCCATAGGGTTTTCAATGGCTGAGTTTTCAGATGTAGATCACCAGGTCTTTCTTCCAAGGCACCTCTGGGTGGACTTGAACCTGTAACCTTTTGGTTAGCAGCCTAGCACTAACCGTTTGCACCACCCAGGGATTCCAGGGCTAGAAGACAAAGGTATACAGTATATGTTCCCTTTGCTACTTACTAACTTGTGACCACTTTGAGGGATTTTCCTTATCTCTGACTATCTCTGTTTCCTCATCTGCAAATTCTGGAGGGTAATGAGGGTGCTTATCATATATGATTATTTTGAATATTCTTTGAATATTTTTGAATACACTAACTACTTAGCATGTGAAGTGCTATCACCACAGTTAGAGAGATAAGATGTGAAGACAGACTCTTTAGCAGGATCAATAATGGAGGGTGGTCAGAGAAACCTGAATGAGGTTTATATCACAAAGCTCTGACAGACTAATGAGATATGTAAAAAAGCACTTAAAATTTTAAATAGTTCTTGCCTCCTTATCTTATCATTGACTTGCTAGTTGGTAAGTCAGAGTTCCTAGGCGTGGGAATACTGTCATTCATCAGCATAAACCAGGTGGGAAGTCTAATATTAAGACCATGTCCTTTTCCTCGAGTTGGTAACCAAAAAAACCAAACCTGTTGCTGTCGAGTTGATTACGACTCATCATGACCCTATAGGACAGAGTAGAACTGCCCCATGGGGTTAAGAGCTTGGCTGCTAACCAAAAGGTTGGCAGTTCAAATCCACCAGCTGCTCCTTGGAAACCCTGTGGAGCAGTTCTACTCTGTCCTATAGGGTCGCTATGAATCAGAAATGACTCGATGGCAACAGGTTTTGGAATCTTCATGGAAGCAGGCTGCCACATCTTTCTCCTGAGCAGCTGGTGGGTTCAAACTGCTGATCTTTTGCTTAGCAGCTTAGCACTTAACCACTGTGCCACCTTGGCATTATCCTGTCAATTTTTAGAGTTTTAGAAAGACCTGAAAGAGTACAACGCTGAAGCACACCTTTAGTCTGCATTACCTGTGGGCTGAAAGCTAAGACTTGAGTTGAGAATTCAGATGAGATTTTGCCTATGCACACAGTTTTTACCCCAGAATTCTGGGCATAAAAGACCAATCATACAATTGATATTTACTAAGCACCTACTAAAACAGATCAAGGCTCCACAAGGAAGACAGAGTCATGTAAGGTAAGGGATGATCCCTGACCTTAGGGAGTTCACAAGCTGCTTTAGGAATCATCATGAGCCAAGGGACGATAATAAAAACACCAAGTGGAGGTTCTGTGCAGCTAGTGCTGTATAGGATCAGAGGAGGGAGCCGACAAAACTCGGAAAAGCTATGTTAGAACTGGACAGGGCAGTTCAATCACAAATGACTCCTGCCCTGCAGTGTATGCAAACAACAACCATGCCTCAGACCTTTAATATAGACAGACTTGAGTTCAAAATCTGGCTCTGCTACACCTTTTTGAGCCTCATTCTCCTGGATGGGGAGAAAATACTTCTCTGAGGTGTTTTGAGGATTAAACGAAACAACACACGGAAAGATACGTGGCATAGTAGGTGCCTAGTAAATGTTAGTTCCCTTCCTTCTTTCTACTCTCCACGGGTCCACAGTCTTGTCAGACATTTTGTTCATTTCCTATACTTTCTCTACCATCTCCATGTACTATCCATCACTATGACATGTTTTCAATAATGTTTTCCTTCAAGGTCAAAATCACTCTCTTTGCCTCTTCTAAGAATAATTTCCAGTCTAACTGGAAGTTAAATGATGATTTTTCTTACTTCCATCATTTCTTTACAGACCATTTACAAATGAAGCTATGTATTGTTTATCACAAAAATAACATATCTCAAAAAGAACTGTACACATAAAGGCTTACTAAATGCTGTTTGATTTTGGCAACAATAAGTATGAGAACAAAACAGGGAAATAATTACGCATTTCCCCCTACATTCCTCTGAATTATGCCCTTAGGCGCTGTTGATGAAACCAAAACAAAAACAACTTTGTGACTTAAATAAAAAGTTGACAGAACAGATCTATTCACTCACTATAGATCAGTTGCTAAGGCGTTGACTACAACTCATGGTAACCTCGTGTGTGTCAGAGTAGAACTGTGCTCCATAGGTTTTTCAATGGCTGATTTTTCACAAGTAGATCACCAGGCCTTTCTTTTGAGGTGCCTGTGGTCGGACTTGAACTACCAACCTTTTGGTTAGCAGTGAATTTGTTAGCCATTTTCACAACTTAGGGACTCCACTGAATACAGGTACTCTACTTAAATGCTCTTAAACTTTTCCTCTAGAGCACCCTTAAAGGCAGATAAGGGTGACTATGTATCCTGGGAACATGGGTGGTGCTACAATGTAAAAGCAACAAATTCTGTTACTGGCTATTAGTTTATCTTTAAAGTCTTCTTGAATTTTGATTTCTACTCTATTGTAAACTCTTGTTTGTTTTAATAGGAAACAATATTTCTTGCCCATATATTCAGATAAAATTGATAATCCAGGAAAAGAACATATCATGTTTATCTGGTGGCTTCAAGTACATTCTTCATATCACCTCCTACACCATCTCCCCGCGGTATGAATACATGCTCCAGACTGAGAAACACAGTTCTAGTCTATGAAGAAGGAAACATATTGGGTACATTTTCAGACTGTTAAAACATTTGCTTTATTCTAACAAAGTTATATGCCCATCCCCGAATTCCGGAAATTCAAGAATACCACACAACCATAAAGTCACTCTAGCCTTAAAGAGAGATCCTCCCTGCTGTATCATAAAAAATTCAAGTTAACAGTAAATTAGAGGGAACACAAATGCAGTAGGAAAAAATCAGCAAATTGGAATGCAAGCCCAGAGGTTCACATCACACACAGAAGACGAAATGGGGAGGGGCAGTAGATTAGGACCCTGCTTTCGCACCTGAGGAGTTAAGACGTGAATTATTGCTGGAACAGAGAGCCCAGTGCTCCTTCAGGTTCTGCCAGCCTCTCTTTCTCTATACTTACGAACACCGACTTTATTCTTGATATCAAATACAGATGAACTGGTTTTCGTAAGAAGTCAGAAGGGCCCCAAAGCCTAAAACTGTGGCTGTTAATTGGTAACAGGCAATGGGTCTGCAAAGCTACCTGAAGGTTTGAATTTATGCTTTTTATTATGTTTTATTCATTTGTTATAAACTAGGAGAAATAAAAGAGTACTGTCCATTTAAATTATAAAACAAAGAGCAAAGCAAAAAAATAAAATAAAATAAAATAAAAAAGAAACAGTTGCCTGAGGATAAAGTGTGAAAGCATTAAGAACAATTGGCCTAGACAGACACTGAGGAGATATGGTCTTCCTTTAACAAAGTGTTTCTAGCCGCTAGAGAGCACAGGAGAGGGTGGAGTGCAGATTCTGCACAGGCAGAGAGGGACTGACGGGAAGAAAGGACTTGAGGTGAAGAACATAGGTCTCTGAAGGCTCTCACTGCAGGGGGCGAGGAGCCAGAATGGTTCTGATGGGGTTCTTCATACCTGCATGTTTACCTTGGAAGCTGGGTAGAAACTGAAACCAGACA